CGTCACCGTCATCCATTACCAGAACTTTCCATCTTCCCAAACAGACTGTGCCCATTAAACACTGCCCGCCCATCCCCCACTCCCCGCAGCCTCCAGCGACCCCCTCCTACCTCCTGTCTGTGAATTCGACGGCTCCAGGTACCGCACATGAGTGGATCATACAGCATTTGTCCTTTTGTGTCTGACATATGTCACTTAGCATCATGTCTTCGGGATTCATTCACGTCGTAGCATGTGTCAGAATCTCCTTCCTTTTTAAGGCCAAATTCTGTTGTGTGTGCAAGGGTACTTCAAAAAGTTCGTGGAAGGATTCGTATTCCCTTTTAATTGTGTTTTCCACGAGCTTTGTGAAGCGCCCTCATCTGTACCACACTTGTCATGTGTCCCTGCATCCGTGGAGGGCGCTTGGGCTGCCCCGCCGTGGAGCCGTGTGAATGCGGCTGCCGTGAGCACGGGTGTGCAGGCTCATGTTTTGAACCAGGACACACCCTGACCAGCTTTCTACTTAAATGAAGGGTCCTTAGGCTAAAGGAAGTCAGAAGAGGTGTAAGCTAAGATCCTCCATCCAGGACAGCTGTGTGGGAAGTTGTCTCCCCACAGTCAGTCTCTCACCTGTGAAAAAGGATGACTTGACAGGTTTCCACGTCCGTGGACGTTTCTGTTGCTGTCGATCTCAAACTTTTCCTTTTCTTGACGTGGAGGCATAAAGGAAAGACGCCAGCTCATAACTTCTCTGATAGCATGAGGCAGTCACTGGGTTTTTTTCGCCTGATATCCAGGGAGTGATCAGGTTTTTGTCGGAAAACCTTGGGCAGGTTATTGTTCCAAGCTGCCAAGGGACTCTTGACCCACAGCCTGGCTCAGCCTTGACACGTCCAGGTAGGGACAGTGACTCATGCTCCCTGTGCCCCTGCTTGTGACTAATACCCAATTAATTGTTAACTGGTGACACTTCAGACCCAGGGATTCAGGAGGTGCTCCAGCATCCCCAGGTGCAGCAGGGTAAATAGAGAAGCAGAGGGGTTCAGCTGAAAGAGACAAAGCCTTCATTCCACAAGCTTCTATCAGAGCACAGGACCGATTTGATGAGCTCCCTGGGCCTTCCTGCCTGTCTGGAATGTGCGTCCGGGTTGATGTCAGCGAGCAGTGCGCCAGTCCCCTGATGGACCTCTCCTCATAGACCTGGCCAGGCCTTGAGAACTCAGTGAGAGTGACACCAGGTACGTAGAGAAGGTTGACATCTGGGTAGGATGCAGTTCCTACTGTTGGCACTGGTGGGTTATAAAGCCAGGGACGCTTCCGAGGAAATCAGCCCTCGGCATTCTTCCCTGACTTCTGGGAACTAAGGAAGCAACTAAGACGCCCACCCAGGCCGATGGCTGTCTCAGGGGAGGATTTGGGCTTCTGCACACCTACAGATTTTCAGAGGCAAGAACTCCCTCGATGTCATCACCAAGGCGTATTGAAGCAACAGAACATGAGTTGTAAGAAATCTGGATGTGGGGGCCGGCCCGGTGGCGCACTGGATAGTGCGCCGCTTGGGAAGCGCGGCGGCGCT